ACACCTCTCCCTCCTCCTCCTTCTTCTTCTTCCCCCCAAACCCTCCACCTTGTCCCCATCCCCTCTCTTCCTCCACCTCCTCCTCCTTCCCCTCTTCCTCTCACTTCTCCTCTCCTCTTGGGAACCAGAAAGCAACAGTAATTATAGCCGGAGTGCAATATCCCCAAACAGGGTTTTTAAGCCCACTGCGGTTTCCAAGGTCGATTGCGTTCCCGTCCAGTGCGGTCTGGCATGGCATGTTAGAACATGCCTCCTCCTCCTGCTTGTCCTCCTCCTCCCCCACCTCCTCTTCATCCCAAACGGCATCTCGGAGCCCAGAGTTGCGAGGATGTCTCCGGCGTAAAGGGCTGGATCACCTCGCGCGCGGCATCTCGGACCCCAGAGTTGCGACGATGTCTCGGGCGAAACATGCTGCAAGGAAGTCTCAGGCGAAACGGGCCGAACCACCACGAGCGCGGCGTCTCAGAGCTCCGAGTTGCGGTGGCCTCCTGGGGCCTCCTGGGGCCTCCTGGGTACCTCCTGGGGCCTCCTCCTGGGCCTCCTGTGGCCTCCTGGACCCCACCTGGGGCTTCCTGAAGCCTCTTGGGGCTCCTAGGGGGGGATATCTAACATGTGGCCGTCGGGCCCCCCCAAAATGGGGGGGGGGGCGCGGGCCACAAGAGCAGGAAAAATCAACGAATCGACACCGGATGTGTATTAACTTGACACGTTCTGATAGGGGGCCTCCTGGGGCATCCTGGGAGCCTCCTGGGGATCTCCTGGGGACCCCTGGGGCCTGTCCTGGGCGTCTTGCGGCCTCCTGAAGCTCTCTGGGGCCTCCTGGGGATCCCAGGGTCCCAGGGGGGATATGTAAGATGTGGTCTTCTGGGCCCCGAGGCTGGACCACCTCTTGCGCGGCATCTGGGAGCTCAGAGGTGCGAGAATGTCTTGTGCGAAACGGGCCGTACCACCTTGCGCACGGCATCTCAGAGCTCAGAGTTTGGAGGATGTCTCAGGCGAGACGGGCTGGACCACCTCGCGCAGGGCATCTCAGCTCGGTGTTGCGAGGATGTCTCAGGCGAAACGGGCTGGACCACGTCGCGCAGGGCATCTCCGAGGTCAGAGTTTCGAGGATGTCTCAAGTGAAACGGGCCGGACCACCTCTCGCGCGGCGGCTCAGAGCTCAGAGTTTGGAGGATGTCTCAGGCGAAACGGGCCAGACCACCTCGCGCGCGGCATCTCATAGCTTAGAATTTCGAGGACGTCTCACACGAAACGGGCCGAACCACCTCTCGCGCGGCATCTCGAAATGCAAAAGCGCGAAGATGTCTCAAAAGAAACGGGCCGGACCACCTCTTGGGCGGCATCTCGAAGCTCAGAGTCTCGAGGATGTCTCAGGCGAAACGGGCCGAACCACGTCGCGCGCGGCATCTCCGAGGTCAGAGTTTCGAGGATGTCTCAGGCGAAACGGGCCAGACCACCTCTCGCGCGGCATCTCAGAGCCCAGAGTTTCGAGGATGTCTCAGGCGAAACGGGCCGGACCACCTCTCGCGCGGCATCTGGGAGCTTAGAGTTTGAAGGATGTCTCAGGCGAGACAGGCTGGACCAGCTCTCGCGCGGTATCTCAGAGCCTAGAGTTTCGAGGATGTCTCAGGCGAAACGGGCCGGACCACCTCGCGCAGGGCATCTCCGAGGTCAGAGTTTCGAGGATGTCTCAGGCGAAACGGGCCAGACCACCTCTCGCGCGGCATCTCAGAGCTCAGAGTTTGGAGGATGTCTCAGGCGCAACGGGCCGGACCACCTCTCGCGCGGCATCTCATAGCCCAGACTTTCGAAGATGTCTCAGGCACGCCCAATCCCGGACAACTCAGAAACGAGAGTTGTGAGGATGTCTCAAGCGAAACGGCCTGGACCACCACATTTTGTTGAGGATGTCTCTGCTTAGAATTCCCTCGGCCGGAGTTAGCTTCTGCCACAACAGCACCCCGTTCAGCAAGCTGTTTGGGGAAAAAACATCATCTGGCAAGCTTCCGCGGACGATGTCTCGCGCTGGAAACTTTCCGACCCGCCCTTGGCAGCGCCTTCGATGACGCCGCCGTCGCGGCAAGGCACGCGGGGGAGGGGTTGCGGGAGGGGGTCGGGCGTCCGTGGAAGAGTCGCCCGCGGAGCTCCGGATGTCTGTGCCTGTGCTTATGTAGTGATCTGCTTTTGTTTCCTCCTCCTCCTCCTCCTGCAGCCAACTCTTCCTGCTGCTGCTGCTGGTCCTTCTCCTCCTTCTCCTCTTCCTCCACCTTGAGAGCCCTGTGCCCTTCGAACTCATCTCCTCGAGCCTACTGTACCTTCCTACCTTTATCATCCTGCCTCTCCTCCTCCTCCTTCTCCTCCTCCTCCTCCTCCTCCTCCTCCTCCTCCTCTTCCTCCTCCTCCTCCTCTCCCTGCCTCCCTCCCTCCCTCCCTCCCTCCCTCCCGCCGTCCCTCCCGCCGTCCCTCCCTCCCACCATGCCTCCCTCCCTCCCTGCTTCTCCTTGTCCTTCTCCACCTCGCCTTCCGCCCTCCGTCCCTTTCCTTCCTCATCTTCTATCTCCAGTCCTGTTCCTTAGAATTAACTGTTCTTTTTCGCGCCACCAGGCGTACCGATGGGGCGGGCTGGGCGGTTCGGCTGAGACTCCCTCACCACGTATGACCCTGAAGCTTGAAACTTCAGCGAGCTACGCGGATTGAGGGCGGGCCGTTTCCAAATGTTGGCTCTTGTTTTAGCACAACCCATTCTTCTCAGACGCGCCCAACAACTATGAAGATGGAGGGCGGGTGGTTTTCAGAATGTGTGTCTCGCACTGGCACCGCACACTGTCATTTCAAACGCTCTCAACACTTACAGGGATGGAGGACGGCTCCTCGTTCAAATCAAAGATCCCACTCGATATTTGATCAGCATGCCTTAACTACCGTTGCCCGAACAGATACTAAGTATATTGTCAGTTGCTCACATAGCAGTCGTACTGACTGGTCACATCCTGATGCCGGCAACTGCGCACGGAATGCCCGCGGATGCGCTCGCTCATGCTTTGCTCCCGCTCGCTCATCCAGCCAAGCAACTCCCTTTACAGCAACGGCTCCTCCTTCAGATCAAGGCTCCCGCTCGAGACTTCAGCAACACGTCTTGCCAGACCTGTCGCATTGCTCCACAGCTGCACGGACGGAGGGCGGTTCTTCTTCAGCACTGGGGATCCAGCTGGAGACCCCTTCGAAGAGTATCCTGGCCAGAGGTGCGCGGGCTGTGCCACAGCTACGCGGATGGAGGGTCGGGTCGGGCGAAAGGGGGGGATAGCAAAGGGGGGGGTTGAGAATCAGCTCGCGTAATTAGCTGATTTTCCCGGCGCCTCCCGGCGCCGGAGGCGGCTATGTATCGAGGAATGAGCCCCTCGGTGAGGCCGAAACCAGCTGCATGCAGCAAGTTTCGTAACCCCCCCTTTCCCAATCCCCCCCTTTCGCCCGACCCGAGAGGGCCGCTCCTCTTCAGAACGGGACCCCCGCTCGCGGTTTTCCCTCCGCACATCTGCACACACACAATTACGCTGTCCGCCGACCTCCGCCTGCCGGGAGTGAGGCAAGGCGTGTGAGGTAATCGGCTGTCCCCCCTCCCACGGGGGGAGGAGAGGAGGAGGAGGAGGAGGAGGAGGAGGAGGAGGAGGAGGAGGAGGAGGAGGAGGAGGAGGAGGAGGAGGAGGAGCCTCCTCCTCCTCCCCTTCCCTCCCCCGAGGTCTGAAATCGCGTTTGGGACACCCCCCCACGCGGGGAGGACGAGCTCGTCAACGCACACCCGGGGCCTCCCGAGCCTCCAAGTTCTCACTCCGTGGCCTCCAAGACGCCCGAAGTTCCATCTGAACTTGCTCCAGCTGGGCTCCAACATGCCGAGGAAGTCTCAAAGACACCCACGACGGCCTCAAGAAGGCCCAAGAGGCTTCGAAGACGCTCCAAGAGGACCCCAGAAACCGCAGGCATGCGCCCAAGAGCCCCCCAACAGGCTCAATGAAAGCCACCACAGGCCCAAAAGAAGCATCCAGACGCCATCAAGAGGTCCCCATGAAGCTCCCAAATGCCTCGCCGGTGAACATGTACCCTCCGCCCCAAGAGCGCCACCGAGACCGCTAGCAGGCACCTAAGAGGGCCCATAATGCGCCCCAAGAGGGCCACATTATGGGCCCATGTACTCCTGCCCGAGTGATGGGGACGGGTTCCGCATCGTCGCAAGATCTCTCTGTTCTGGGAGGTCGGCAGAATGGCGTAAGCTTCTTGAGTAACCTTCCGTGACAACTTCACGGTTTACTGGACTTTCGCTGCACGGGTCCTTGAGTCCTTGAGCTTTGACATCCTGCCTCTTGGCACTGCTGCTATCTAGAGGGATGCACACCAGTTCCTCTTGAGCACAGGACTCTCACAAGACTGACAGACCCAGGGGGCGTTCGGGCGCTCCACGCAGTGAACAGGAATGCTAGTAGGGACTTGTGAGGAGGGGAGGCTATTTTGCAGCGTCATTGATGCAGCCTGGGTGTACTCTGGTCGTTGTCGTCGTCGTCCTCCTCCTCCTCCTCCTCCTCGTCCTCCTGCTCCTCCTCCTCCTCCTGCTCCTCTGCCTCCCTCTCCTCCTCCTCCTCCTCCTCCTCCTCTTCCTCCTCCTCCTCCTCCTCCTCCTCCCCTCCTCCTCCTCCTCCTCCCTCCTCCTCCTCCTCCCTCCTCCTCCTCCTCCTCCTCCTCCCTCCCCTCCTCCTCCTCCTCCTCCTCCCCCTCTCCTCTCCTCCTCCTCCCCTCCTCCTCCTCCTCCTCCTCCTCCTCCTCCTCCTCCTCCTCTCCTCCTCCTCCTCCTCCTCTTCCTCCTCCTCCTCCCCCTCCCCTTCCCCACTTGTTTCCCTCCCTCCCTCTCTCCTTCCCCTCCCCCTCCCCTCCCCCTCCCCCTCCAATCCCCTCCCCTCCCCGCTTGTTTCCCCCCTCCCCTCCCCCCTCCCCCTGCCGGGACGGCGCGCCTTCCAACTGCTGGTCGTCGGCCAGATTCTCCTCAGCCGGGGACGTCGGGTCGAACTGCGCCGGCAGGAACGTGGGGGAGGAGGGCTCGTCGCCTGGCTCGGGGGGGTATCCGCACGACAGGCTGGCGAGAAGGAGGGAGGGAGGAGGGAGGAGAGGAGGGGAGGGGAAGGAGGGGGGAGGGCATCAGCACGTCGGGAAGGCGGAGGGAGGAAGGGGATGAGGAGGAGCAAGAGGCCAGACCAGGGGGGCGAGGGCGAGGGTGATTGAGTTAGAAGTGGGGGAGGTGGAGGGGACGGGTATGACGAGGAGGAGGCTGGCGTGACGTCGACGGCGGCGGCTACGACGACAACGGCATCTGGAGGTCCCTTGAGGTCTCCGCGGAGGTCCCCAGAGGCCTCCAGAAGCCCCACGAAGACTTCGGAGACCCAAACAGTTTCAAAAACATCAAACACCTGGGTCCTCGAGACACTCCATCGCCGAAGCTGAACCCTCAAAACCTCGAGAAGGTGTAGAAGGGCGCCAAACCCATCCTGACCGAGCCCATATTGGGCCCAGGATCGGTGTAGACGCCACCCCAGCCTAGCTAGGACTGCGCATGCCCCGATCCTTGGCCCCACACGGGCATGGCCAGCATCGGCGCGGGTCTATACGGTGAGAAAGCATTTGTTATTTCCGTTCAACGTGTGGTTAACCTCAGCACCACCAGGCTCGCGACTCACATGAAGTTGATGATCAACTTCATGGTGCCTTCTTGGTGAGAGGGCATTGGCAAAAGAACAGATGGACAAAGAACGCAGGGTCTGGAAGCCGGTGGAACTCCGACCGTGCACTGGCCACACACACCACCGCCGCCCCCATGAGATGAGGAATCCTCCAGGGTCACAACTCCGGAACGAAGAGCCCCACCGCACGGCAAAGAGCCCCAAGATGTGACCAAACGGGCCCCGAGACGGCCCCAAGAGCGGCCCAGGCGCTCTCCGACGGCGGGCGGCCGTGCGCCTGCGTCCAGCGTGGGCGGCGCGAACTGGCGCTTGCCAGGGCGCCTGGGCGCTGGCATGAGGGCGTCCTCCTGCTGCGCGGCCGCCGCGGCCGCCTGCCCCGCGGGGCCGCTCGTCGTCGTCGTCGTCGTCGTCGTCGTCGTCGTCGTCGTCGTCGTCGTCGTCGTCGTCGTCGCCGAAGTCTTCGTCGTCGTCGGGATCGTGGTCGCCGTCGTGGACGTCGTCGTCTATCGCAGTCGAGGGCTGGGCGGGGAGGAGCGTGGAGGGTGGGGGAGAGAAGAGGAGAGGGGTGGGGTGGGGAGGAGTGGATGGGAGGGAGAGGCGAGGAGGAGAAAGGATGGACATGGGAAGGGAGGAAGGGGAAGCGAAGGTGGGGAGGGGAAGGGTTGGGGGCGAGGGCACAGGAGGGGCACAAGGGGGGAGAGCCAGGCAAGGCAAGGCAAGGGGGAAGGCAGGGCAAGGCGGAGGGAGGGACGGGAGGCGGGGAAGCAGGGGCGTGACAGGGGCCCAAGGCAGCCGTGCGCAGGGCGCAGGGCCCCGCGGGCGGGACCTCCGGAGGCAACCGCGCAAGCCAGCCAGCCGCTCTCCGGCCCCACGGCAACCGCGGTCGTGGGCCTGGTGGGCGGGACCTCTGGGCTGAGCGGGGCCAGATCCCCGCCCCCGCTCAGGAGAGGAAAAAACACACAGACACAATTAATTTTCGATTTCCCAAAAAATATGGGAAAATATGGGAAGTGGGGGGTAAGACAGAAACCCAGAAAATATAGGAAAATATGGGGAATATTTTTATGTGTGTGTATTTATTTGTGTGTCCTGGGGCCCCTTCACCCGCATCCATCTGGACGGAGGGGGAAGAGGGCCCATCAGCGCGAGCACACTGCGGGGAACAGTGCACTGGGGAGTTGGGTCGACGTTGCTTCCAGTGTCGGGGAGGGGGGTGCTGGACGCTGCGACGCTCAAGGCGCGGCGCGCACTTTTCGCTCACACACGTGTCATCGGTGGGGTCGAGTGGGAGCGGGCGAAATGTCGCTCTCGCCAGAGAACGCCGCGAAATGGAGCTCCCGCTTTGACATGGCGCGCAATTTGCCATCGCCTATCTTATCGGAAATTCAACGCGCGCGACAGGGTGAATGGTGCTCTCGCCCAAGCGCCGCGCAAGATTTTCTCAGAGTTCCGCTACTACCAGCGGGTGGCCCAGCAATAGCCAGTGAATCCAGGGACGGCATGTTCGAGTCGTGTCGACCCTGGCACTGGTTCCTGACACCGCGGGGCTCGTTCAACATTTAACGACTGGGCGTCTCCGAAACATCAGCTCGGTCAACATCGACCGATTCTGGTTCGTGGCGGCATTTAAAGTTGAACGCCGGCGGCGGGGTCGCCGCTGGTCGACACGACGCAAACCTACCGTACACTATTCTCTGAAAGGACCAGCGGCATTGCCGACACCACGACGCCCCGGGACACCACGACACCACGACATCTCCATGACCCCCCACGACGCCCTTCGACACCAAGCTCGCTCGCCGCGCGCCGCAGCAGTGCGTACGGGGGAAGACATGCCCCTCCATCCATCCTGACGACCTGTGGAACAGCTTCGCACTCGGAACACGCACCTCACGAAGTGTGATTTCCCTGTGGGGGCGGCGTCAAAAAAACGTTCACACCCACAACTTGACCAACACAACAGCCTTCATAATACCCGAGGACAAACCCACAAATCGTCAGGAACCACCGAGAGCCTCCGACGAGCCCACCATGACCACCCAAACTCACAAGAAATCTCCAAGAAGCGACGTTCAACCTCCAGGAATGACAGGAAGGCGCCTGAGCCCGTGAGAACCTGACAAATCTTGGGGTTGACGAGAGATAGTCCAGCCCTCAGGGCGGAGCGCCCCAGGGGAGCGCCGCTGAAGGCGGGAAGGGGGTGCTGAGACTGCTCCAGACCTCATCCACTTGAGACGCCAGCCTGGACCACCTTCTGGGGCTGCCTGTGCGCAAACCGTAGCCTTGCCACAGGAACCACCGGATGCTGCCAGGAAGCTACTAAAACCACCAAGCGCTGCCTGGAGACCTCCTCGCACCCCCCCTCGACGACGACGACGACGACGACGACGACGACGACGACGACGACCAACGACCGACGGGCGACAGGCGACGGGCGACGACGACCAGGACCAGGACTGCGACGCAGATGCAGCGCTGGCGACGAGGGCGCCGCTCGAGGCCAAGCAAAGACAGTCCAAAACCGAACACGGCGATGCTCAATCCTGGATTTTCGATCTTCGATCGACGACACCGACGCCGACGACGGCACGTGCGACGACGGCAGCCTTCGTCGGCGACGTGGGCGACGGCAGGTCTGTAGGCACCGGAAGCTCGGTGGGCGAGTCTGGCGGCTGCCTGGACCCGGCCCGCGGCTGTTGCCGTCGTCGTCGTCGTCGTCGTCGTCGCCGTCGTCGTCGTCGTCGTCGTCGTCGTCGTCGACGTCGTCGTCGTCGTCTTCGTCGTCGTCGTTGCCACCGCCGTCAGTGGCGTCGTCGCCGTCGTCGTCGACGTTGTCGGCGCCCGCATCAGGGGAGGAAGAAGAGGGAGGAGCAGGAGGAGCAGGAGGAGGAAGAGGTCGATGGAGAGGAGAGGCGAGCAAGAGACTGAAGACCCAGCTTGTCCACGCGCGCCTTGGAAAAGGACCGAGCCACTCACAGGACTCTGGCGCGAGACTCGAAACGTCAGGGCCAGAGGCTGAAGTTGAGTGCGCACAGTCGCTCCTCCCAGGGAGGGAGGGCGGGAGCCGAAGACTGGCCATGGAGGAGGAGGAGGAGGAGGAGGAGGAGGGAGGAGGAGGAGGAAGAGGAGGAGGAGGAGGTGGAGGAAGAGGAGAGGAGGAACGGAGGAGGAGGGAGGAGGAGGAGGGAGGAGGAGGAGGAGGAGGAGAGGAGGAGGGAGGAGGAGGAGAAGGAGAGAGGAGGAAGGAGGAGGAGGAGGCGGAGGAGGAGAGGAGAGGAGGAGGAGGAGGAGGGGAGGAGGAGGGGAGGAGGAGGGGAGGAGGAGGGAGGAGGAGGAGGAGGAGGAGGAGGAGGAGGAGGAGGAGGAGGAGGAGGAGGAGGAGGAGGAGAGGAGAGGAGAGGAGGAGCAGGAGCAGGAGGAGAAGGTAGCGCAGAGAGAGGGAGGTTGGGAGGGAATGACATGGCCAGCGGGGGAAAACATTCCGATGGTGACATCCCCTGGATCGTTCAGCAGGTGGTTTATGAACAAATGCACATCACCGAATTCAAAAACAACTCAAGCTCAAACCGTTCAAGAACATCTGTCTTTCCTTGCCCGTCCAAGCCAACATCCATTCAAAAGCAATCACTGGACCCCACCATGACACATCCCGACCAGACTCCCGCGTTGCCTCGGGAGGCCCCCCTCCCCCCGACGACACAGACGACAGATCATAGGTGGCAGCGACAGATGGCCGACTCCAGACCCGTGGGTACCTGGCGCTGCCCTCCGCCTGCTTCCGCCAGGTATCCGCCAACTTTTCTGGCGGAGCCGCCTTCGTTCTACAGTCAACCCGGAATGCGAGGACGCGCGATGAGGATGCAAGGGCCTTAGAAGGCCGTCTCGAAGCTTTTCGAGCGGGGCGCGGCCAACAAAAGTAGCCAACGATGGACCGAGGAGGGAGGGATGCAAGGGTATCCTTGCGACGGTTGCCCATCCTTGCTATGCGGGTTGACTGTACCTGGCGCTGCCCTCCGCCCGTTTTCGCCAGGTATCCGCCAACTTTTCTGGCGGAGCCGCCCTCGTTCTGCTTCCACCAGCTTCCCCGCCGAGGGCGACGTGCAAACTCCTGGATTCCTCGAGGCGGGGCCTTTGTTGGAACGCCCCGAACAGGACGAGAGAAGCACGCACCACGCTGGGTTGTCGGGCCTGCCCCAGGGCGCGCTCGGACTGGGATGCCGAGGCGGATCCAGCCGTAGCGACGACGGCTCTCCTGGAGGCCAACACAAAGACAAGAACGCGAGAATGTCTCGATCACCGATCCTGCGACCCCCTTCTCCTCGGAAGTCTCCGAGGGCCCCAAGAAGCCTCCCGTGGTCCCTGGCAGGAGGGGGCCATTGCCTCTCCCCTGCCTTCATTTTTGGTCACCGGGGTCAGATCGCGCGTCAGTCTCTCAAGCAGAAAGGCTTGAGCAGCTGCAGGAACTGGAACACCTCCGTAGCGGTCGCCTCGTCGTCCAGGTTCTTGTCCTCGCGAGGGAGACAAAAGCATGCACCACCAAGAGGCCTCCACGAGCCGGCGTTGGGCCCACACATGGGCCCACACAGTGGTGCATATCGTGCACAGTCAACCTGTAGAAGAAGGACGCACGATCAGATGCAAGGGCCCTCAAGGCCATGTCGACACTTGGCGTGCGGGGCGCGGCCGCGAAAGCGACCAAGGATGGGCCGAAGGGGAAGGATGCAGTGACAACCTTGGAACGTTGCTCGTCCTCGCCGTACGGGTCGACTGTCTGGCCTCCCGGCCGGGCCGGGAGGCCAGACGCGCCGAGATCTGGCCCCAGAGGGGCCTGCGGAGGCGGGGTGGTGGCCGCGAGCTGTCCCAGGTCGCCCAGCTTCGTGCCCCCGCGCCGCCCGCTGGAGCAGAGCAGCTCTCCGGCCCGGGCCGCGCGGCGCGGGGCCCTTCGCGCTCCTGCTGGTGGCCCGGCAGTCCCTGCGGCGGCGTGCAAGCGGGGCAGGCCGAGAGGGGCGGAGGCTCCCGTGAGGCAGGGGCAATGCCGGCGGTTGCTGGAGGTGCCCCTGGCCCAAAGTACTCCCAGCCTTTCGCCCGATTTCAAAAACTGCGGGGGCCCTCTGGGCCTCGTGAGGGGTGCTCTGGAGGCCGTGGGGGCCTCCTCGGAAATCCTGGGGGCATCTTGGGCCAGGGGCACTTCTAGCAACACCCGACCTTGTTGAAAGGCCACCGCCATCGCCCTGAGTTAGAGGCCTCCCCGAGTAGGGGAGGAGGAGGAGGAGGAGGAGGAGGAGAGGGAGGAGGAGGAGGAGGAGGAGGAGGAGGAGGTGCTCCCCTTCTGCCCAGGCGGTGCCAAAGGACATCACCACAGTGGGGGGCGCCAGCCCTCCGAGGGGGAGAGGGGGGGGCCGCCGGTCCCCCCACCGGAACCCCCTTGCCCCCACGAAACAACGACTCCTCCTCCTCCTCCTCCTCCTCCTCCTCCTCCTCCTCCTCCTCCTCCTCCTCCTCCTCCTCCTCTCCTCCTCCTCCTCCTCCTCTCCCTCATCCTCCTTCTCCCTCCTCCTCCTCCTCCTCCTCCTCCTCCTCCTCCTCCTCCTCCTCCCCTGCCCCCACCCGGAACCCCAGTTCCTGTCACTCCCATCTGCGAGTGCGTGAACAAGGAAGGTCTCAACCTGTGGCGACTAAGCTTGGAGAGCCCGAATGCTATGCCTGCTACGTCGGGGTGATCTCGGGGCTCTGCAAACGAGAGGGGCCAGGTGTGCCCAGACCAGCACGTGCTCTGAATCAAAGGAGACATCCTCACGATCTGCCACCTCCACCCTCCCCGAACACACACACACACAGGCACACACAGACACACTTTACACACTTGTTTTAAGTGCAGCGGCCAAGCATCCCGACACACACACACACACGCACACACACGCACTCACACACACACACACACGCACACACACACACGCACACACACGCACACACACACACACACGCACCACATACACACATACACACACTCACGCACACACACACACACACACACACACACACACACACACACACACACACAAATACACACACACGCACACACGCACGCACGCACGCACGCACACACGCACACACGCACACACACACACACACACGCACTCACACACACACACACACACACACACACACACACGCACACACACACACACACACACACACACACGCACACACGCACACACGCACACACATGGGTGCTAAAACAAGCGCCTCGCTCGAGACATCCCGACGATCTGCTCTGAAAACAGAGGAGCCCCAGCCGCGAACCGAGCAAACCGCCTGAGACATCCCGACAATCCCGCGACCGGGTGAGTGTCATGCCCCCTGGCGACTCCCCCTTAGGGGGGCCCGAATGGCCTACTATATCGGGGTGATCACTGGGCTCTCAAAACAGTTTGTCTGGGCAGCCCAACCGGCAAACAGCCTGAGACATCCCCACAGTCTGGGCGCGAACGGGGCCGTGCAACACCCCCTGGCGGCTCCCCCTTGGGGTGCTGAAACCAGCGCCTCTCTCAAGACAACATCACAATCTGCAAGTCTGAGTCTGAGTGCGTTGCAAGTCCAAGTGCGAGTGAGGCTGAGTGTGAGTGAGTCTGAATATGAGTGACTCAGAGTGTGAGTGAGTCTGAGTTTGAGGGAGTCTGAGTGCGAGTGAGTCTGAGTGCGAGTAAGTCTGAGCATGAGTGAGTCTGAACACGAATGAGTCTGAACATGAGTGAGTTTAAGTGAGGAAGGGGAGGATGTGAGTGAGTCTGGATGTGAGTGAGTCTGCGGATGAGGTCATCTGAGTGGGGAACATGAGGAGTGGGGGGAGAGGGAGGTGTGAGTGTGAGTTGGAGGCGTCTGAGTAATTACCAAGAACCCCTTCTTAGATGCATATTGGGGAAAAGACGCCCAAGCCCAAAAACCTTCTGGACCTTCCGATCCTCTCTCCATCCTCTCGGTGGCGAGCCCAGGGGGGGAAGTGACAAGAAGGCTCAGAAGTCCCCCGGCCTTCTGAGAAGGTTTCTACGCCTTCCCCGACGACACCGAAGACCTCTCAGAAGGCCTTCTGAGAAGCCCCGCCGCCTGCTGAGAAGGCCTTCTCCTTCTCAGTCCCCTGCTCGCCGCCGATCCTCCTCCTCCTCCTCCTCCTCCTCCTCCTCCTCCTCCTCCTCCTCCTCCTCCTCCTCCTCCGTAGAGATGACCCCATCGAGGTCTCAGGCACAGCCCGGTCGCCATGCCGCCAGGCCCCCCCCCCGCGCACGGCGTCCGGGTGCCACTTCAGCACCGCGGCCTTGAACGCGGCGCGCCGATCCGCCGCTGGGCCAGCCTTCGCCGCGAGCAGCTGCTGGAGCAACAACTCGGCAGCCTGGCGCGCCCTGGCATCCTGCGCGCGATGGCGGGAGGCCGGGGAGCCAGGCGCAGGACTCCAACGTTCCGGACGGCGGCCAGGCTTCGCGGCCCCGCTCGACGAGCCTGGGCGAACCCTGAGATCCTGGTGCCTCAACTTTTTCGAGCCGGGCGCTTTCGCCTTGTTTCGGGCCTAGGACCCTAAGAGATCGATCGGGCTCGAAAAATGACGCCGCCAGGTGGGGTCCAGGGTTCCAGGCGTGTTTTTTACGATGCTGCAACTTTTTGTCGCTGCGTCGGATCTCAGG